GAGGCCCTCTGGACAGCGGGAGCGAGGCCCTCTGGACAGCGGGAGCGAGGCCCTCTGGACAGCGGGAGCGAGGCCCTCTGGACAGCGGGAGCGAGGCCCTCTGGACAGCGGGAGCGAGCCCCTCTGGACAGCGGGAGCGAGGCCCTCTGGACAGCGGGAGCGAGCCCCTCTGGACAGCGGGAGCGAGGCCCTCTGGACAGCGGGAGCGAGCCTAATTCATGCCATGCCCTGGAACCTTAACTGTGCATGACATCGGAGTGATAGAAGGCATCGACCAGAAGCTTCAGCCGGAGAAAAAAAGAGCTTGTTACCTGATTGAGTGAAAAATACTCAGCCCTCTCTCTTTGATCACTGGCACTTTGCAGGAAAGAGTGGTTTAATAGAGCCTGCCACGGCTCATCATCGTCAATACGCTCTGACAAGCCCTTTGCCTTCTGGTTTTTGATGTCACTACTGACAGGTATTGATGGGCAGACGTTTAGCTTTTTTTTCTCCCTGAATTGGTAGTGTTAGTACAATGTGGAGCTAAAAGAGCAGAATAGATTTTTCATGCCCTCTTTGGGTTCAGCCTTCAGAGAGTTATTTCAGCCTCCTAAAAATAGTCTGTATTGAATTTTGCCAGGTTGATAAGCCTGTAATTAATGTTGCCATCATCTGCTGCAGAGACTTCTAATCCCCTAAGGACTCTGCTGGTTATAAGAGCTTTTCAGGTTAAGGGCTTTTTATAGCCCTTATTTATGAATGGACTCGCTAAGCTAAACAGTATTAAATTGTTATGACATGTCAAAGGTGAATCAATCTGCCTAACCTGTTGCGTAGGGTACCAATGCAATTACTCTAATGCTTTAGATACAAACAACTCAATTTATCAGCCGAAAGAAGTGCTGCATGAGACAAGGGATTGTCATCCTTCAGGAGCAGTGTGATTCGCTGTCCACAGCAGGGCATTTATTACTGCTTTGTATGGGAGGAGGTACTGCCCAGCTGTTATATTTTTTCATTTCTCAAAAGTTCAGGGTTGGGCTCCGGGTCCTCGAGGGATAAAGCGGTTATTGGAAAAGGAGGGAAGGAATGGATATTCCAGATTTGAAAAGGTCTGCTTGCGAGTTTCCATTTTTTTTGCATTGCTATATGGTATGGATGAGCTGAAAACAAAACAGCGGCAGTGGAGGTATTTAGTATGTCAGAACAACAGCCGAAAAGCTCAAAAGAGACTGAAGATGGTCACTTACTGCCCCCAGTTATTGCCCGGACACACACTGGCTCCACAGGGTGTCCAGGACCACCAGGCAGTCTGTTTGTAATAAGGTTAAGTCAAAGGCGTCATTCACTGCTTAAAATAATGGTTATTCATTTGAAATAATCCGTAGCACCTTTTACTGTTCTCCTCAGTGAGACGGGGGAAAACAGACCATTCCGCGAGCGTTTCTTGTACCCTGCTTCGTGGAGTTCCCGCACTTGCGTGCCCCCTTTTCTGATTTTTATTTTTTATTTTTCTGAATTCCGGAATAGCTTTTGCTGTGGCTGTGCCGTTTTATCTGCTGCCTGGGGCGAAATCTCTCGCAGTGTCCTGCCTGCTGCTTAATTTCAGTCCTCCGTTCCACTGTAATGAAGCATCTTGATGTGCATTTGTCAATTTGTGTGTGTCTGGAACTGCTGGATAATTGGGATGTGACTAAGCATGAATTTCCATTGCTGGGTTGCTTGACCTTTCCATAACCCATAGATAGTGCCTGGTAGTAATGGAGGTATTATCTTTTATTCAAATCACAATTGGAAAGCGCTTGTCAGCGGGGTGCCAGGATGGAAATTAATTGACAGAACTCCTTACTCGTACAGTAGCTTGAGAAAGAGAGCTTACTTATCGTAATTGCATGATTTTATAATGACTTCAATGGGTTATCTCTGCACTGGGCAGGAGAGGTACACCTGCGTTTTAAAATCATTTAAACGCCAGTGCGAACATCCGATGTCTCCTCCACCAGTTTCATTTCTTTTCTCTCTCATCTTTGAAAATCAGACCATACCGATGTCTCTTCTATGGCTCTTGTTCATGCTTATTTCATTCTTGAAATGAGCTGGGAAATCCAGAAGTCCTTAACCCTAAATTAGTCCTTACCTGTGAGCCTTTGCGGTCTTGTTTTTTTTTTTTTTTGGATCTTGGCTCTGCTTGAGGCCTCGGTGTGAGCTCGGTGGGAACTGGTCACTCAGCAGATGCGTCTTAGTTGCAGTGGTCTTGCTTTCTGTAGGGCTCCAAGAGAGACTGTAGGCCCAGTGTCTTTACTCCCCCAGCTCAGGGGCCTTCTCTCTAATGCAGCTGCAGAATGAAACCACGGCCGTCGTGTCAGATGGATGTAATGAAAATAGCAGTGGTTTGCATTGTCTCATATTTCTTCAGTGTGGAATAAACAGGGAGAATTTATGTGTACTGTGCAAACCTTTTTATAGAGATGTAGCAGCTCTGGTTTGTGCGAGATGATTAATTCCACGTATATGCAGGTCACTCTAGGAAGAGGCAACGTCTTTGTCACAAGGGGGCCCTGTCAGGAACATGCGCAAGGTTGCAGTAAAACAAGCAAACATAGCATCATGTGCAACAATAAATCTTAGAAGGTTAAACCCATGTGCACTCAGCTCTGAAAAGGCCTTTTCATCATCCTGTTTAAAGCAGGATCAGCTACACTGTTCCTTGTGTTAGCTGGAACAGGAGGATGTTTTGTTCTTGTCTTGAAAATGTTTGATGTGGAGGTGCTTGAATCTTCCCCAGCCCCTTGCTCAGATAGGTAGCCGGGTCTTTCTCCAAGAAGGAGGAAGGGAGTGAAATAGATTGTAGGAGTGTTGTTGTAATGCTTGGCTCTGGAGGCGTAGAGGTCTGCATCCAGTGCCTGTTGGACACTCTCGGGGCCGCAGATGTTGTGCACCGAGCTGATTGTCTTTCCTGTTGTTCTCTCCCCAGTGGATGATCCAGCAGCCTCACAAGGTGGCGACGTTCTTCGGCTGCATCGGCACGGATAAGTTCGGCGAGATCCTGAAGAGGAAAGCCGAGGAAGCCCACGTCGACGCTCACTACTACGAGCAGAGCGAGGAGCCGACAGGAACTTGTGCAGCCTGCATCACTGGCGACAACAGGTCAGCCGGCTGTCCGGGGGAGCGCCCTTCTTGTTTCCTCAGGATGTGCCGGGATTTCTGTTCTCAGGCATTTCCTGGGCTGCTAATAAACTTCTTTTTGCCGAGAGATTTAAAAGCAATGCTGTTGCACTCTGATGTCAGATAAAAATGGTTCCAGACCGGAAGCACCCCAAAAATAAACACATTTAGAGTTGGTTTTGTCCGAATCTGGTTCGGTTTGCCAGTGTATCGCCAAGAGACAGTGCAATAGCACGTTGACAGCTGGTCATTCAAATCCTGTTGCCGTGAATTCATCCTGAGCCGCAGGAAACAGCGTTTGTAATTGGAGACGTTTGCAGCACTCTGAACGTATTTTTCAATCCATAGATCATTGTTAAATGTTATTTGTGAAGTGAAAACATGGCTGAAACAAGTCATCATACAGATCTTAAGAATCAGGCCAAGAGAGGTAGATCCTATGGTCAGAATGTCACCAGTTCGAGTCAGAAAGAGCAGGAGGAATTGCACAGCTGGTGTGAGCCAGGTTAGCCTGAGGATGCTGAATAACACACACAGGTTTGTGGGAGTGGGGACAGGCTGTCCAAACACGTTGCTGAAGCCGATAGCCCATCTTCTTTCAAGAAGCAGCTGGGAAAGATCCTAGATCAATTAGCGGTTAGCAGCCAAACGTGCTACTTGAACCAAAAGCCTCTTCCTGACTGTCACCTTTCTTCTTCTTCTTTTGCTCTTCTTGAGTGATTTTGCAAAGTGAATGTTGCTGTCAGAGGAAAGCATGTGCAGTTCTCAGAATTCAGTGCTGCTATGAGGATTGTTGGAGGAAGACCAGGTGATCCCCAGATATTTTATATAGGTATTAAAAGGAAAAGCTTTCTAAATTTGTCTCTAGAGGTGAAAAATTATTTCGGACTGGGCCTCGTCGTATCATGCCCATCACTGATTTTAATATCACTGCCTTCCTCGTTAATATTTCATTGATAGCTTTTAGCCAGATTGCCGATACAGGTACCGTAATATGCAAAAGATTTGAAGCTGGTCGGCAGAACGGAAAATTCACTGTGAAGGAGTTTCAAATAAAAAATCTGAAAGGGGGAAAGCCTTCCAAAGTCTTGTAAACAATCTCTCAAGAATTTAGAAAATGAGGGGAAAAAATTCAGTTGACAGTTAGCAAGAATTAAAGAAAGGAAGAAAATCTGTTTTAAAGCTGTTTTTCGTGTTTTAGACATCTTTTGACAGCTTTGCTACTACCTTGTAACTACAGCTTCCAGTAGCATTTTTATGACAGCACTTTACAGCTGTTTACAGACGTTCTCTCTCACAGGACACCCCTTTACTCATCTTCCAGTAGTTCAAAATATTAAATATGTCTTTAAAACCAAAAAATTGGAAAGGAAAGATGAAAGGCACCTCTTATCTTTGAAAATTAGTTTGAACTCCAGCTCCCTTAGCAGTTTCTTCTAAATCATAAATTATGCAGTTGTAAAATTCTTTCAGTTCCAAGAAATGAATTTCAGTGTAGCATGTTTGCTGTACTGGCTAATGTACTTCTTCTCTCTACCCTCGTCATAAATTTAATACCGTTTTTATCTGTTTATCACCAGATTGTGATATTAATAGAGTATTAATAGAGTGGTTATAAATCTATCTTCCACTTAAGACTTTTTCACACACTTTATGAGGCACAGCCCACACTGTATGAATGCCATTATCTGAAAACAGGAACTGTTCATGATGATCAAAGACCACATTGAGATGAATTCATTTTTATGCTTTAATACTGTTTCAAATATCTATCTGGAATGCAGAAGCTAAAATAAAACAGCTCCTTCTTTCATGATGGACGTCTTTTTTAATAAATTACAGATTGATAGATTCAGAATCTTGAGTTTATGTATTGGTTTTATAGACGTTGCATGAAACAGAAAAAATATTGATTTCTTTACTCCTCTTAGTGCTTGCAGCACCTTACAGTTCACGTAAATCAGGCATGAGTCAGGATTTGAACAATGCTCTTTGCGTATGTGTAGATGTAGAAATTGTTGTTCTTTTTAATGCAGAGCTTCCAAACTCATCTCCTAATTTATGGTTTTCAGTTGTTGGGCATATTTCTCTGCCTGTTCCTGGTGCAGATGAAGGCAGAGAGGTCACAAAGCATTTTATAATACACCTTGTTCATTCTGTTCCTCATTGACAGCCCATTTGAGGATCAATAGCCCTTCTGAAGGGTCTGCAGCACAAAGCCTTAATCTGCTTCCACTGAAGATGTCAGTCAGTGGCGTCTCGGCAAGGCTGTAAAGACTGGCCTGAATATATTAAGAGATGAACAGTAGCTGAGGCACAGGAATACGCCTGAAAGGTCAGACACAGCTCTAGGGGACTCCCCGTGCTTTTAATAGCTGTTCATCAGGCAGAGCAGGGGTCAGAAGTTTTGGCAGGAAGTGTAAAGAACCCAAAATGTGAGGGCCCCCACGATAAGATGTGCTTTTGTACAGATAAGAAAGCAAAACGACGGAGGTCAACCCCCTCCTTCTCCTGCCCCCCGAAGAGCCTCCAGTCAGAGCAGCTCCAGGTAGGGGATCTGGAGTTGTCCGTCCCTGTGTGGACCCAGGAACTAATGGGGAATGACTTTTTGTGAAAAGAAAAATAAAGTGGAGCTTTTGGCAATTTCACTGAAGCTTGCTAAACGTATATTTTCTTCGTGGGGGGGGGGATAACATTTATTTTTTATAGCCACACAAGTTACTGTAACACTGGCAAAAGGGCTCACTGGTAAATATCAGTGGTTTGTTTTAGCTTGGTCATGTCGCGATAGTCGGCAGTCAATCTATTTCAAGTTATTGCATTCAGCTAATTAACTGTTTTGTTTTGAATTTTAACCCTACGGCTAGAGCATCATTGGGCACTGTCAGATTGTGAGCGCCCCTTGATGCTCACCGTTACATTAGTACAAAAGCGACAAGATTGACAAGGCGAATGTTTACATTTTCTGAAAATGCCACATTCCCGGCAGTCTCGGCAGTGGTGTAGCTGTGTTCTGAGTGTTTAGCTGGTGAAAAACAGATGGTAATTTAGTATGTTCTGTGGTGTATGGGATAGGTGTATTCATGATCAGAAGGTTTACCCTGAAAGCACAAGCCACAGTGAAGGACTGAGAGAATGCCACTGCTTGTAATGCCAGCTTTCCGTAGACAATCGGACCTGGCCTTGTTTTGGGAGGTTGGATCCAGGTGAAAACCCACAGAAACACAGGGAGAATATGCAAAATCCACACAGACCGGCCAGAATCGCAACCAGGACCCTTTGGCCTTCCTTACCGTGCTTGGAACACAGCCTTCCAATATTACAGATAGTCAGGCAAAGCAAATTGGTGTCTGAAACAGAGTGCGTTTGGAGCTTTTATTTCATACTGCTGGGTAGGAAGCTTCATACTTAAACCAAAGCAAATCAAGACAAAAATATCCAAACAAAGAAGAGCCTAGTTCCACTCAGTAGAAATGACAGGGGGGTCCGTCAGTCAGATCCATTTGCCAGTGAACAAACAAAACAATGTCTTGTCCTTTAATATCGAAAACCTCCTTTTTCCTTCCAGAATACTCAGATGGATATTATTTCTTTCTTTTTTTTGTCTAATTTAATTTCTGTCTATTTCCCAGAGCTACCTTTCCTTTTTATACACCTGCAGCCCTTTATCAGCTGCAGGTGTGTCCAATTAAAATCCAGGTCTTTGGCCTGATGGGAACTCTAGGGAATGCTGGGGAATGTAGTTTTTTTCACATCCCTAGCTGTTCATTTCAGTCTTACAGGGGTGGCAGGTGCATACAGTATTCGGGCCATAGCATCTGCCCTCTGCTGTAAGTGCTTATTGCCATGCCACAGCACAGACCATAAACGTTTTTTAACACAGAACCTTGGGATTGATGCCTGTCTTTTATTCCAGATTTAGTGTGTAGATAAAACATTCAAGTATAAGGTGGGCAAACCTAATTTTGAACTCTTTCTTTATGCTTAAAATTGCTCTTTGACTTGAAGGATGTGGCTTTCTCAGGATCAGTAATTCTGAAACCTCTGTGTCTGCATGGAGCTACATTTTCTGTTAGTGCATTGCGCCTTTCAGAAACGGTAGTCCTGACCCTGGTGCCACCACCAAGCTCCACTGACAGTCTATCCTGGGATGATGCTGAATGCCCGCTCTGGCTCTGCTGGCAGTGTAAGAGGCTGTTCCGGTAAAAGAAAACGGAAAACTGCACAGATTTGTCTCCTGTCGGTTTCTTACAGTTTATGTGGTGGGCCTAGAGTAAATAGTAACACAGTGGACATTGAAAAGCCCATCATCATCATAATAATAATAATAATAATAATATAGTGCTTTTCTGGACACTCCATCTAAGCACTTTACAGGTAATGAGGACTCACCCCCATCACCACCAATGTGCAGCATCCACCTGGATGATGTGACGGCAGCCATAGTGTGCCAGAACATTCACCACACACCAGCTCTCAGTGGGGAGGAGAGCAGAGTGATGAAGCCAATTCATAGATGGGGATTGTTAGGAGGCCATGATTGGTAAAGGCCAATGGGAAAGTTGGCCAGTAACACCCCTACTCATTTGAGGAACACTCTGGGATTTTTAATGACCACAGGGAGTCAGGACCTCTGTTTTATGTCTTATCCGAAAGACGGTGCCGTTTTATAGTGTTTATAGTGTTCCCATCACTAGATTGGGCCATTAGGACCCACATAGACTGCAGGGTGAGCGCCCTTTACTGGCCCCACTAACACCTCTTCACTCTTATCAGGTGTTTAAACAGGAGTAACTGCAGACTAGGTACTATGACAAAAGTTATCATGCTCCTGGATAAAATCAATGCCCACTGATGACTGGACAAAGCTGTTTTCTTATTTAAAAGTAAATGTAGGTCATTATTCAGAGAAAAGCTGCCGTCCAACATTTAAAAGAGTTGCGTTGGCCTTGCAGGTCTCTGGTCGCGAACTTGGCAGCAGCAAACTGCTACAAGAAGGAGAAACACCTGGACCTGGAGGAGAACTGGAAGCTGGTGGAGGAAGCCAAGGTCTACTACATTGCGGTAAGTGCTCTGTCTGGACACAGCAGGAGATGATTGCATTGCTCTGTGGCTGCAATGAGTAGAAACAACCACATCGTCGCACACAGTGCAGCCCCTGAGCTGTGGAGTTTATCCAGGTGCCCTGTTGTATATAGCCTAAACGTGTAAAGAAGTTTTGCTTAGTGAAAGAAAAGGTTGTTGAGGAGTTTTGAAATGTGCCTTACCATAGGGGTTTTGTATAGTCAATGTTCCAATAAAAAAAAGCACCAGAAGTGGTTCTGATTGGCTGTCTCTTGGTCTGACGTTGTGCCGGGGTGCTGTTTGCCCTTATTGCTTCAAAGCTGTTTTCTCAGCACCTGGGCTTCCCCTTCCCAAACCTGGAGGCGTCTGGTGAAAGCGCTGAGGTTGTCTTGTCTTTTCTCTGTGCCATAGACTGTACAAACAGGATTTAATAAACAGCGATTCAAACGATAGTAAAAGGTCCATCTGTGGTGCTGGGGTTGAGTCAAACCACGGGTGTGACATTTCTAGAAGAAAGGTCATGGGAGATCAAAATCAGGTCCGACTAGAGCCATGATGCAGTATAATCATTTAGCATCCCTGTCAGAAAACCCAGTTAGTCTATAAGGGCAGGTGTTCTGCTGAGCAGCTGGTCAGGGCCCGCCTGTTCTGTAACTGCAAGAATCCTGTCCTCTCCAGCACTCTCAAGTGAAAGATAGGATAAAATATGAACGTAGATGTGATTTCTGACTTGTGTGTCCGTTCTGATGTGCGCATCTTTTCTGCAAGAAGGGACGAATCGCCCGTTATAGCATATAGGATACTAGTTGTTATGCTGAATCTGACACAGTGAGTATTTTAAATGATTTTATTACTTTGAATTGACTCAACCCCCATTCCCCCAACTCTGATCTCACACACTGTCACACACAGCACGTGTTGAGACAGGTACGTACCTTTGGAGACCCAGGGAAAACCAATGTTTGTCGAAAGTCTTGTCATCATTGACGAAAAGAAGAAAACTAACTGCAGGGCTAGAAAACACAAGCATTTGTGAATGCCAAGCGTGCAGCTGTGCAGGAGTAAAGCTGAAATGAACATTTCTGCTTGAGGTCTGTGCAGTTAGATCCCAGTGGGTCACCTTGTTTTCCTATAGGTCAGGAAGAAATACTATGATCTATGATAACACCGTCTCCAGATATGTGTAATATATCCAGTGCATAAGCATGTTTAATGCATTTAGACTGTCTATATCCAGGGCGGTAGTCTCCGCTGAAAACGAACAGCTGGTGGAGAAGTGTGAAAATTGATTACCCAGCCAGTGAGTTCATTGAAAATACAGTTATTCCTTTCAGCTGTTGGGCCACAGTGCTAATGTTTCCTGCAGCCTCTTAGAGCTCACTGCTGTAGGCTTCAACACGGCTTTTATTGATTCCTGTGCCAAGTAGGAGTCTAGAAATTCATAACTGTCAAATGAAGCCTTAAACACAGCAAAGGAAACTACAGGCTGCACTCAAAGCCCACCGAAGACCCTATCAAAACATTGGACCAAAACAGCGTGGTTTTGTATTTTCATCTCCCACAAAAATAATGTTTTTTGTTTATGCTTTGTGAGATTAGACCGTTTCTAAATGAATTGAGCTTTTTCCCCGTTGTAGTTTTGAAAAGCAGCGACAGGAAAACTACAAAAGTTTATCTTTCCAGCAGAATGAGCAGCTGTTCCTGGTGTTCCTGTTCCCAGGGCACAGGGGGCGCTGGCCTGCTGTAGGTTTGGGGTTAACTTTGGATTTGACTCGGTTTTGTACAAAACATCTGCCCATTGTAATCCTGTCTGTAAATCCAATAGCAGCATCAGAAAATAATCAAAATTCACTAAAGATGCATATTGGTTATGTTTGCACCAAGATCAACTCAAAAATGTTTAAATTAAAAACTCAAAAAGGGTAAATCGGTGAAAAAATGCAGTAATGGTCATGCCCGATTAAATGTTTTATTAAATATGTATTTACATTTTGTTACATTAGTTTTTTCTGATTTTTAAGTTATGTAGAACACATTTAAACTATGAATCATAACCTATTGTCAAACTGCATCACGAAGCAGTGTTAGAGAAAGCTGTGGTAGAACAAGATGAAGCCTGGAATCTGACCTGTATCCTGTCAAATTTGCCCATCTAGCTTGTATGTCATTAGCTAATTATTCTGAGGATCACAGCCCAACATTTAGTGAAAGAAGCTAGGGTATTGACTTCAACAGTATGTACCTTGTTCCATACTCCCACAACCCTTTATGTAAAGATGCGTTACGCCCACCCCAGAATAAAATCGAAGCACCAGTCTAGGCGTTTATTGGAGGGAAGGTAAAACCCACTGGACATTTATACTATAACGATCTTGGGTACTGTAGTTTTTTTTTCCGTATGCTTTTCTTGGTTTAAATTTCTGTGGTATTCCCTCATGGTTTAAGACTTCGTTTCTGAGAAGCTATTGATTTAAAATAAGTATTTTTACTGAATACAATTATTAAAAAAGTGATCTTAACACTACAGTTTTAACATGGGAAGGAGTCCACGATCATCAGTTTCCATATTTTCCTGGCTGTGTGAGTCAAGAAAAACATTTGCTGGCTAAATCAATTTTCTAATGATGGGAACACTTCAGGAATAATGCCCTGTGATCCTGAGTGGTGGTTTTGTTCTGAGAGTTTGGGTGGTCTCTGTCCAGACTCCACTTTGAATTAGCATACACGGCAGATCCAGCCAGTGAGCTCTCGGGAGGGGTATAAAAGAACTGTGACGGTGCTGGGAGGTTTAAAAACAAGAGACGGATTCCACCATCCTTTCTGACATTGAACGTTGGGCTGCATTTCAGTAAAACACATCTTTCTACTTCCAGGACGTCTGACAGACAAATTTACTGTGATCTGGTGCCAAGGGGCTCATTTGTGCTTCATATATACTGCAGCTTTCACTGGACTCAGCATTTGCTAACACCACCTCTAACAGTAGCCTCCACTAACCTTGACAGAAGCTCAGAAACACCCCAGTTTTAAAGAGAGATCATAGATTTCCTTTCTGATGTAGTTGTTGTTGCATTTTCTCTGTTGATTTTCATTAAACAAATGTTATATGGTATGCACATACTTGTTTTGCTGTAATCTTTAGATCAGATTACAAACAAAGTGCCTTAAAGCAATGATTAATGATGCTTGGCGGAAAGTCTCAAGGTGCCTGCTGTCCTGTCGTGCGATTGGAGGGAAACAGAATTATTAGAGCACTTTCACCAGCCAATCTCGCTGCAGCAGCAGCACTGGAGAGCAGCAGTGCCATTTTTCACAAAGAAAATGTTGAACCTCTGCCAAATGTGTGGTGGCAGGCTGTTGCTAGGAAATCAGGGTCCTGAGGCAAATCATGACACAGTGAGCGACGGCAAGAGCGAGAGGGAAAGAAACATGCAAAGCAGATATATTTTTAAAATGTGAAACCCTTGGTGTTTAGTAATCTTGATGTGAGATAGCGGCTCTGTGATCGGTAATGGAGAGGAAAACGAAGCCAGGAGTGGCAGCTCTAATTACCGCCTCTAATTGGAAGGGGTAGAAGGAGTGCCTTGGCCCAGTTAGCCTTCATTCCCAGCCCCCTTAGACACACACGCTGGCGCACGTAATCCGCAGTGCACTGCTGGCTTGTTTTTCTAACCAGCGAGCAGCGTTTGCCCTGTAATTTGATCTCCCCTGACAGATGCGTTTTCTATGATGCCACTTTGAATTAACCTATTGTGCCACAATCTTCCCTGGCCCTGGCAAATATAGCGATTCTGATTTAACCCAAACAGAATTGATAGAGCACAAGAATTCACTTAAAGCTGCAAGCAGCACGCTTCTGTTAAATGACTGTAAGATGGAGCTGCCTTGAGACACTGGTATAAAGCTGGGAACAAAATGTAAAAAAAACAAACACACTAGGAAGGCTTTGGAATGCCCTGTTGCAGATGGTCTTAAATTACCTGAACATACAAGGATATAAAGAGGAGCTTTTGATGCTTTCAAGTATGTGCCAGCTTTGCTGAATTAATTACTTGACCAATGAGGACCTGGCAACATGCTGGGGTCGCAGCGAATGGGTGTGTGACCTGTGCAGTCTGAGACAGCTCCAGCACGCGCACCCCTGCCTGGGTGGGGGCGTCTCTCCGAGGGCAAAGAGAACACAGTGCCAGCGAAGCAGACACCGTTCAACAAAGAGCCGCAGTCGCTCCTCCGGGCTGCCGGGGCGCCCCCTCTCCCTGCCCCGCTTGCTCCTGGGGGTGTTTCAGTTTACACTTCCAGCATCCTGCATCGAGCAGGCTCAAATTTGGTTTCTTGAATGTCTGTGAAGTGATCTCTAAATTCTTTACAGCGGCGTGATTGAGTCCCTCTTTCTCAGCATGCTTTTAAAATATGCAGATTCAAAAAAATCGAAAAAGAAATTGACTTATATAAAATGCCAGAAGTGGTTCACAGCCACCAATGCAGGACCGTTAAGTGTGTCCACAAGAAGGTGCCATATTGTAGTGTGTAAAGCCACAATCCAGGATGAATCGTGTTTGCTTAAGACAGGGGTCTCCCACCCCAGTCCAGCAGGTTTTATAGGCAGCCTTTAAATGACCAATTTCTAAACAGGCCTGAAGGATGTCACTGTGATCAGTTAAACAGTTGGTGTTAGGCAATTTAGAGACCATTTGGAACAGATATCTGAATAACCTCCAGCCCTCTAGAACCTGTGTTCCTCTCATTAAGACATTACTTGCTTAGTTGATCAGTTGCTTAAACGAGCCTTCCCGATATTTGAAGAACAGGTGATGTAGAATGGCTTGTCAGAAAAACAGGCTCTGCCGGACCAGGGCTGGGGTGTGAGAAATGGAATGGAAGAGAGCTCATGGCTATCTGACGCCACAAACTGCATGGCAGCTTGTGCCCTGGAGTGACTTGCATGGAGCATATTGATGCCAACAATGCCAGGCTGCAGGAATCAGTGGCAGCAGGAGAGA